AGAGTCCAGGACCAGATGGCTTCCCTGGAGGAGTTGTACCAGACGTTTAAAGCAGAGATAATATCTATCCTTTTCAAGCTATTCCAAGAAATAGAAAGGGAAGGAAAACTTCCAGACTCATTCTATGAAGCCAGTATTACTTTGATTCCTAAACCAGACAGAGACCCAGTAAAAATAGACCTACAGGCCAATATCTCTGATGAATATGGATGCAAAAATTCTCAATAAGATACTAGCAAATCGAATTCAACAGCATATAAAAAGAATTATTCACCATGATCAAGCCAGATACATTCCTGGGATGCAGGGCTGGTTCAACATTCGCAAATCAATCAACGTGATACATCACATTAATAAAAGAAAAGATAAGAACCATATGATCCTGTCAATCGATGCAGAAAAGGCCTTTGACAAAATTCAGCACCCTTTCTAATAAAAACCCTTGAGAAAGTCGGGATAGAAGGAACATACTTAAAGATCATAAAAGCCATTTATGAAAAGCCCACAGCTAACATCATCCTCAATGGGGAAAAACTGAGAGCTTTTTCCCTGAGATCAGGAACACGACAGGGATGCCCACTCTCACCGCTGTTGTTTCACATAGTGTTGGAAGTTCTAGCATCAGCAATCAGACAACAACAGGAAATCAAAGGCATCAAAATTGGCAAAGATGAAGTCAAGCTTTCGCTTTTTGCAGATGACATGATATTATACATGGCAAATCCGATAGACTCCACCAAAAGTCTGCTAGAACTGATCCATGAATTCAGCAAAGTTGCAGGATACAAAATCAATGTACAGAAATCAGTTGCATACTTATACACTAACAATGAAGCAACAGAAAGACAAATAAAGAAACTGATCCCATTCACAATTGCACCAAGAAGCATGAAAGACCTAGGAATAAATCTAACCAAAGATGTAAAGGATCTGTATGCTGAAAACTATAGAAAGCTTATGAAGGTAATTGAAGAAGATTTAAAGAAATGGAAAGACATTCCCTGCTCATGGATTGGAAGAATAAATATTGTCAAAATGTCAATACTACCCAAAGCTATCTACACATTCAATGCAATCCCAAGCAAAATTGCACCAGCATTCTTCTCGAAACTAGAACAAGCAATCCTAAAATTCATATGGAACCACAAAAGGTCCCGAATAGCCAAAGTAATTTTGAAGAAGAAGACCAAAGCAGGAGGCATCACAATCCCAGACTTTAGCCTCTACTACAAGGCTGTCATCATCAAGATAGCATGGTATTGGCACAAAAAGAGATACATAGACCGATGGAATAGAATAGAAACCCCAGAACTCGACCCACAAACGTATGGCCAACTCATCTTTGACAAAGCAGGAAAGAAGTTCCAATGGAAAAGACAGTCTCTTTAACAAATGGTGCTGGGAGAACTGGACAGCAACATGCAGAAGGATGAAACTAGACCACTTTCTCAAACCATTCACAAAAATAAACTCAAAATGGATCAAGGACCTGAATGTGAGACAGGAAACCATCAAAACCTTAGAGGAGAAAGCAGGAAAAGACCTCTCTGACCTCAGCCGTAGCAATCTCTTACTCGACACATCCCCAAAGGCAAGGGAATTAAAAGCAAAAGTGAATTACTGGGACCTTATGAAGATAAAAAGCTTCTGCACAGCAAAGGAAACAACCAACAAAACTAAAAGGCAACCAACAGAATGGGAAAAGATATTTGCAAATGACATATCGGACAAAGGGCTAGTATCCAAAATCTATAAAGAGCTCACCAAACTCCACACCCAAAAAACAAATAATCCAGTGAAGAAATGGGCAGAAAACATGAATAGACACTTCTCTAAGGAATACATCCGGATGGCCAACAGGCAAATGAAAAGGTGCTCAACGTCGCTCCTTATCAGGGAAATACAAATTAAAACCACACTCAGATATCACCTCACTCCAGATTGGCTAAATGAACAAATCAGGAGACTATAGATGCTGGAGACGATGTGGAGAAATGGGAACCCTCTTGCACTTTTGGTGGGAATGCAAATTGGTGCAGCCGCTCTGGAAAACAGTGTGGAGGTTCCTCAGAAAATAAAAATAGACCTACCCTATGACCCAGCAATAGCACTGCTAGGAATTTACCCAAGGGATACAGGAGTACTGATGCATAGGGGCACTTGCACCCCAATGTTTATAGCAGCACTCTCAACAATAGCCAAATTATGGAAAGAGTCTAAAATTGCATCAACTGATGAATGGAAAAAGAAATTGTGGTTTATGTACACAATGGAGTATTACAGGGCAATGAGAAAGAATGAAATATGGCCATTTGTAGCAACGTGGATGGAACTGGAGAGTGTGATGCTAAGTGAAATAAGCCATACAGAGAAAGACAGATACCATATGTTTTCACTCTTATGTGGATCCTGAGAAACTTAACAGAAACCCATGGGGGAGGGGAAGAAAAAAAAAGAGGTTAGAGTGGGAGAGAGCCAAAGCATAAGAGACTGTTGAGAACTGAGAGCAAACTGAGGGTTGATGGGGGGTGGGAGGGAGGATAGGGTGGGTGATGGGTATTGAGGAGGTTACCTTTTGGGATGGGCACTGGGTGTTGTATGGAAACCAATTTGACAATAAATTTCATATATTGAAAAAAAAAAAGAAGGCAAGCTTACTCCCATATCACAGCAGCTTTTGTATTCTGCCTAGCAAAGAACACTATTTCCTCAAACTTTTGTCATAGCTCTCTCCTTCTCATGTTGACTAAATTATTTAATATATGAGCTTTGTTTAAATTTTAATTTGAACAAATATTAAAAAAACATTTATTAGACTGTTGGGGAAATTTGATATTATGAAATGTGATATCAATCTTAAGAAAAATCAATATTAAGGAATTTGTATGTGATAGTAATATTGTGCCTATTTTTAAAAATCTTTATCTTTTTAAAAAACATGTTGAAGTATTTATGACTAAGATTATATGATGTCTGTAATATTGTCCAAAATAATACACTATAGATTGTGGGAGTCAGTAGGGATGTGGAGAACGCAAAATTGGGCATATACTGACATAATTGTTAAATTGGGTGAAGCGTACTTGAAAGTCCAGTAAACTATTTTATTTTTACATGTTGAAATTTTTATTTATTTTTATTTATTTTTATTTTTTTTATTTATGTATGAAATTTATTGTCAAATTGGTTTCCATACAACACCCAGTGCTCATCCCAAAAGGTGCCCTCCTCAATACCCATCACCCACCCTCTCCTCCCTCCCACCCCACATCAACCCTTAGTTTGTTCTCAGTTCTCAACAGTCTCTCATGCTTTGGCTCTCTCCCACTCTAACCTCTTTTTTTTTTTTCTTCCCCTCCCCCATGGGTTCCTGTTAAGTTTCTCACGATCCACATAAGAGTGAAACCATATGGTATCTGTCTTTCTCTGTATGGCTTATTTCACTTAGCATCACACTCTCCAGTTCCATCCACGTTGCTACAAAAGGCCATATTTCATTTTTTCTCATTGCCGCGTAGTATTCCATTGTGTATATAAACCACAATTTCTTTATCCATTCATCAGTTGATGGACATTTAGGCTCTTTCCATAATTTGGCTATTGTTGAGAGTGCTGCTATGAACATTGGGGTACAAGTGCCCCTATGCATCAGTACTCCTGTGTCCCTTGGATAAACTCCTAGCAGTGCTATTGCTGGGTCATAGGGTAGGTCTATTTTTAATTTTCTGAGGAACCTCCACACTGCTTTCCAGAGCGGCTGCACCAATTTGCATTCCCACCAACAGTGCAAGAGGGTTCCCGTTTCTCCACATCGTCTCCAGCATCTATAGTCTCCTGATTTGTTCATTTTGGCCACTCTGACTGACATGTTGAAATTTTAAGCTCAAATACTTAATATATATTTATGTTTATACACAAAAATACATATATATACACACACATATATACACACCCACACACATGTGTGTGGAATAAGCCTGTACTCTACATGAAGGAGAGGCAAACAAAACATCAACGAATAAGAAGAGTGCCGCAGGAATGTTGGGACAATGCAACCTGGAAATTTGTCACCTGTTCAGAGCTTCAGGGCACAGCAACTAGGATTCTGGTTTCCTACATACAAATCCTAACAAAGCAAGTGTTAACACAATGCATGTTTACAAGGAAGAAAGGCCCTTTTCTTATCCATGGTGTCCAAGCCTCAATTCTGAGCTAGAGATGACTGGGGAGAAGGAGTCTACAAAGCAGAGGGTATAAACTAATGATTGACGATCTACATCTGGCCCGTAGGCAAGCTACTTTGATTCCATGGTGCTATAAACCTTTTTACATTATAGGCCAACATCCAAATTCTAGCATATGTCACATAAAAGTATTAATTTTCTGCTTTTCTTTAAAATTTGGTAAATTTGGTAATAATTAGTTGGAGTTGAGTGACAATTCTGTTTCAGAGGGGGCAGGTGCCCTCAGGTTTGACACATCCCTACCAGGTCTGCTTTACTTACAATTTTTTTTTAATGTGCACCCTTTTTTCTAGTGAACAAGAGCATGTTATAGGTTGGTGTATTGTGCTTAGCTCCAAAAGCCTGCTTTAATTTCACTTGGTTTAAACTGCCTTTCTGTTTTTCAGTACTCAACAAAACCTGTGGCGCTGTGGTAATAAGGGAAGGAGTGGTGTCTCAGCTGCTTAATTTTAACATAAATGTTATTATTTACCAGTTAGAAAGAGCCACAGGTTCTCAGTGGGCTAATGCCTATTCAGAAGACACCAGACTTAGTGTTTTCCTAGTTTGGCTTTATAAAAGCCACATGTGAGTAAGAACAAGACATAAGAGTAAAATCCACTAATGAAGCTTGGGCCCATGTGTATAAATGGATCAGTCTTTGTTTCAAGACTTTCTTTCCTCCGATCTCTCAGACTTGTGTGTGTGTGTGTGTGTGTGTGTGTGTGTGTGTGTGTGTATGTATGTATGTTGGGGATGGAGTGGAGGTGGGCAGACCTGTATGGATTCTGCGGTGGGCTTTCAGGTGGGAGCTTTTGGTGTACACTTTGTTGCATCCTGCAAAGTCACATTGGTGAATCCGTCTTCTCTTCAAATCAAGAGACTCTTCTCCCTGCATTTGGGTCATTGCTGATGGTCTGAGCAAAGAAAGAGAGATAGGACCAAAGAATGATTTTAACGTGGAAGCTAAATAAATGCACTTACAAAGAGTGGGATCACCTCATACATGCATTTAATTTATGCAAATTTAACAGTAAGTCTTCAAGAGAAGAAATAATTGAAATAGTTCAAGCAATTCCCTCAACTAGGCTATTCTTTGCAGTAAGTGCAGGTCCTGAGAGGTGGTAATGTTTCCTTGGGTGTTTTCTGTTCTAGTTGTGAGCATTTCACTCTAACAAGTCTCATGTTTGTGTTTACATAAATGTATTTTTTCATACAACATGATTGTTAAAACACAAAACAATGCCTTATTGGTTCTAACATTGGAAGACAAGAGTGCTTTAATCTTAAAGAGAGAAACATTATTCAACTGTACTTTAGAGGAAATTTGAAAATTTTTCAAGGACAAAATTGATGAAGTAGACAATTAGGACATAACACTTCCATAACATGCATGTCCATGCACATGTGTGCACACAAACTAACACCTTTGCTGGGAAGGCAATTTACCTACATTTTGTTATCATTAAATGTTTGCCATTGTGTATGAGAATTTTTTCCACTTCTATCACAAACACACACATATATAGACAGGCCTGAAGTAAAGACAAAAGTACTCACTCTTGCTGTAGTCCCTGAACACCCTGTAAAGCTGAGGATCCACTCTTAATCTCACTCTCCTCACTGTCACTTGGGCTCTCCAGTGAAGACATGGAGGTGGGGTCAACTTTCACTAAAAGCAAAGAAAAAGACCAGTGTGAGCTACACATATATGTGCCTCTGATATCATTTTCAGGATTCCCACTTTAGCCCACCCACAATGAGAAGTAGCAACAAGATAGGGAAGTAAAGAAAAATAAAGATGAAAGAAGTGTATGTATATGGAAGGAACAGAAGAACTTAAAAAAATTCTAGCATAGCTAAAATTCCTTTGAGGGAAAGGTAATAAGGAGCATTCTAGTACCACTGGAATGAGCTTCTCTAGGATAGTAAGTTAATGGAATAGGGTCTGGGTATGATTTAACTTTCTATCTCCAGCCCCCAGGACAAAATGTCTCCTGAAAAGTCAGGATTAATGTATGTTTGTTGAATTGAACTTTCTGAATAGTTATCTGGCTGTCCTAAGGTAAATGCCTAGGTTCACCTCAGAGATAAGAACTCCTTTGGGTTTTGTGCCCCTAAATGGAAGTAAGTCAATAAGATGAAATGCATAACTAGTACTTAGCTTGATACATGTTGGCATCCTTCCCTTTCACCTTTGTCAAGAGAAGCCCTCGAGTATCTTTTATTATCAACCACTGATATTTCTCATACCTAACAAAACTCAATCAAATGGTCACCAGTCTCCTAGATCTAGTCAAAGTTTCAAAATTTCTATATTGAAGAAACTTAAGGGTGGCAATAAAGTTTGTGGGCTGGAATTTTGGCTAGTGCAGTTGCCTCTATACACTAATTGTGTATCATTCACTAAAAAGTTTTAATCATACATCTCAGTATGTATGTGTGTCTTTGCATGTGTGTGTGCACATATGTAATAAATGTAGTAGCAGACTACAATTCTGTATAAATTATGAAAAATCAAACTAAAATGTAAAGAGTGAGAAAATACAAATAGAAATGTTGATACTTATTCTTGTGTTCCAATTGTTTTGTTTACATTCCTCACTCCCCCACCTCCAAACCAAGGTGTAAGAATACCATTTTGGAGACTACTAGGCTAATGGTTTTAGCTTAAAATTACATTGAAACTTTTAAAACCTATTTTTCTTATTTAGAGTGGCTCTGATGGACTCATGGATATTATGGGTGCAATTGAAAGACCCATCATATCATTGCTTGGTGCTATCACTGCCTTGATTTCAGCAAATTCTCACTAGGGATTTTATTTTCTCATTTCCCCTTTTGTTTGTATCTCTTTCCCCATAGGAGAACTGATACCAAAATTTTAATTAGTCCCCTCAGAGGAATCTCAAAAACAAGACTGTTATAAACACTTACCATTACAACAATTAGCCACTAGTAAGTAGTGATGACATTTTAAATCAGAAAAACACAACTGCAGAGTCTCAGCAACTTGATGCTTAGTATGTTGTTTTCCAGTCTCCTACATTTGGTGATGGAGTGATTACAAGGCATTGAATTTCAAAGATAGAAAACCCTTAGAAAGTTTTTTCCTATAATGATCTAAGATCTGATTTTTAGTCATTTCCACCCACATATCTCGCTTTTGGTTTTTTAATTCATGCTAAACATTTATCAACTCCTCCTTTGACATGTGTTTGAAACCTCTCACCATCCTAACTCTCTCTTCTGATTATACTCCAACTTCCCAATGTCCTTCCTAAGGCACAATATTGAAAACTGATTATAATTCTAGAGCTGTGGTGAAGCTAAATATTTTGAACCACTCAGGGGCTAAAATTTTCTTTGATCACTTCCAATTACAAACTAAAATAGATACATCTACAGAGATGAGAACTGGCTAGTAAATAGTGGTGAAAGGAGGACTTAATTTACTCCCTTCTGAATTCTGAACTTATTTTTTAAATTAAATAAAAAGGGAAGATTGCAGCATGTGAACTCTCTCCTATACAGGTTTTCGAGTATGTTCATCAAAGTATTTGTTGCAAGACAACTACTATCTACCACCGGGTTGGGTTCTCTAGAGATGCACAAAGGGAAATAATATCGTTTCCTTCTCGAGGAATTTGCAATTTAGTTGAGAAGAATGCCCATACGCTTGTGACACAGGCAAATGAGAAAGTAAAATGGAGGATGATAGATGCCAAATGAAGGAGAGCACCGGGAAGATGTTAATGTTTCAAAGAAGACTATTTACCTGTTAGGGAAGAGAATAGTTATGGTATTGGGAGATGAAGGTGCTAAGCCTGGCTAGAAATGTAGCACTAGAAATGTTCTTAACTTTTCCACAAAAGCATTCCTAATGTCATAGACAAATAAATGCATTTTGCTAGAAAATCCGAGTGTGTTCCTTAATAAGGTTAAAACTATTTTTGACATTTGTGTCTTATTATAAAAGGTCATTAAATTTGTACATTTTCTCTTTAATAAAATTTTTTAAATATGAAATGTGATTAAATTACTTGTTATCAAATAACATACAGAATACAGAAAGATACACAGTATTTTACTCAAAAATATGCATACCCCAGGGGTGCCTGGGTGGCTCAGTTGGTTGAGCATCCAACTTGGGCTTAGGTCATGATCTCACAGTTTGAGAGTCCAAGCCCCACATCAGGGTCATTGTTGTGAGTGTGGAGCCCCCTTCAGATCTTCTAGCCCCCTCTCTCTGCCCCCCTCCCACTAACTCTCTCTCAAAAATAATAAATAAAAACTTAAAAATATATATGCATACCCCAATTTTAGAATCATGGACTAAACAAGAGAGTATTTGTACTATATTAAGCACTAAAGAGACATGATAAAAACAGTGTTTACAAATAATTATTCTTGAAGCTGTGTGCAAGAATAATTGGAAGGGATGAAATTAAATAAAAGATAGAATAATTCTAAAAGAATAAATGGAGGAAGGTGAGGCCCAGGAAAGGGGGACACTGATGCTTACCTGATCCAGCATTTTTGCCATCTCCTCCAATGAGTGGGACTGTAATGGCTGCAGGGCCCCCATCAGCAGGCAAAGTAGTATACACCATGGGAAGTGACTGTACCACTACTGGGATGGTCTTTAGGCCACCCAACTTATTTGGCAGTCTGACTGAGGGGATGGTGTGAATCACATGAAAGATCTGCTGGCCACCAGTTCCTTGAGAGGAGGCCAGGATAGATCTTGGAGTCAGAACAGTAGGGATATTTGCTGAAGTGCCTGTGTCAGACGTTGAAGTGGACACTACAAGAGTCTGGAGAGCAGGCTTTGGCTTGGGAGTGAATATTGGAGGTTGCAGCATGCTGGCAGGCTGGAGATGAGCCTTGGGCTTGTGAAAAGAGAGGTCAACTGGTTCCACCTGGGGCAGGTTGAAATAATTAGCCAGAAGTTCTTCTGGGGGCTCAATCTTGATGTCACTAAATAGTGCTGGGTTCTCCATGGGACTGGCATCTGGGAATGGTGGAGATGTCATATTACCTCTATCTTCTGTCTTAAGAGGATCTCTGATATGAACAGAGCCAGTGACCTAGAATAAATAAATAAATGAAAGGTGCAAAATATCCATTACCCTGAAAAGTCATGTGAAGAATGAAATCAAGAAATCTATATTTTCTTCTCATAGACACAATATATAGGGAGTTGAGAGAAATGAGGCAGGAGTATGAGGAAAAAGGAAAGGAAACGTTACTAAACACTAGTACCAGGCACTGTATCAGGCAACTGATACAAATTATTTCATTTAATCTTCATAATAACCCTGAAAGATTAAAGTCAACATTTTCTGAATATCAACCATAAGTACTGTGCTAAGCTCAGTGACAACAAATGTAAGGGTCTAGCCACAAAGTGTATACTAACATACTAACTATAATGATAGAGTAATGTGAATAGCTTATAAGTCATACCATAAGTGATGCAGCAGATATACATTCAAGGCATTTAAGAAAAAGTAAAGGGAAAAATTCATTCTAGGCAAGATGAGAAAAGGCTTCAAGGAGGAAGAGCTATGATATATGGATCTTAGAGAATTAATAAGAATTATCTAGGCAGAAAATGAGTAAGAGAGATTTTTTGAGTCTATAGAGATATAACAAGAAACAATATTCTTAGGGAATAATGAAGCAGTATTGTCAATTGTATTATATGCAAAGCCAAAATGTGAAACTTCTACATTAAAAAAATATGAATTAAATGGTCACTTTATAGGTAATACATATTTGTAAAAACCCATAAAACCTCAATCTAATTTAAAACTTCCTAAAAATTCTATTAATGTAAATGTCAATGATATTTTGAACTGTGTCTGCCATTGCTAAGCAACACCCTGGTTCTTGAAGATGGCCTTGGAGATAGTGGTGCTACTTTATCCAGTTAACAAAATAAGACCTCATTCTCTCTCACAATTGGATTTGGTTTATAGGGGTTTTGAATTATGATAGATGTTCAATAATTCATCCTTTACATAGAATAAAACTATCCTTTTTTTTTACATTTGGAATATGATGGAAGGTTGAATTCAAAGAAAGGCTGGGTGATAAAGTATAATTCTTTCAAAGAGGGGAGTTACAAGTGCACAGCTATTTTGGTGGTAATTAACTAGCTCCCAACGAAGGATAGATTGAAGGAAGAATAAGACTGCATTCAAAGGGACCATAAAGAAAGCAACAGGAATAATAATGGTGACATTTATGAAATGATTGTAAAAATTTGAATATTGGCTGGATTTTGGATGATATTAAAGAATTATTGTTAATGTTTATAGGTTTGATATAGGTTGTTGGAAGATGACAGTGGAGTAGGAGGACCCTAGGCTCTCCTCATCCCATGAATACAACTAGAATACTATCAAATCATCCTAAACACTCCAGAAATTGACCTGAAGACTGGCAGAACAAACTTCACAACTAAAGGTACAGAAGAGGCCACATTGAAGAAGGGAGGAAGGATGGAGACATGTTTTAAGACAGAAACAGATTGTGGATGCTGCAGTGGGGAAGGAGCCACAGTCACACAGGAGAGCAAGAGACAGACTAACATAGGGGGAGTTTAAAGCCTGGAGTTTTTTTTTTTTTTTAATTTTTTTTTCAATGTTTATTTATTTTTGGGACAGAGAGAGACAGAGCATTAACGGGGGAGGGGCAGAGAGAGAGGGAGACACAGAATCGGAAAAAGGCTCCAGGCTCCGAGCCATCAGCCCAGAGCTTGACGCGGGGCTCAAACTCACAGACCGCAAGATCGTGACCTGGCCGAAGTCGGACGCTTAACCGACTGCGCCACCCAGGCACCCCTAAAGCCTGGAGTTTTAAAGTCAGTTGGCTTGGCTGGGATGCAGCCCAGATGGCAATGTACTGCTCTTAGAGAGAAAGCAAGCAAACAACCCAAGAACATACAGCATGGAAACAGTGATTTGAAGAGCACCTGAGTTATAGAATGGGGAGGTTATTTGCTCATTTCAGAGTGCATCCCACAGAGGCAGCATCTATGGAGAGACATTTTTGCAACAAAGAAATTGGGTGGAGCCATTTCCTACCCATGCTTCTCTGCATGAGCACAGGGCTACCAGTAGGAACAAGCCCAGCACCAATGCTCACTAACTTGTTTACACCAAGCCCCCCTCTCTGTGTTCCAGAAAACACCACCTCCCAGTATTTTCTGCCCCAGTCCCAGCACTGTATACCCCCTACCCTATACTACAGGCCCAAACCCTGGATTATACCCAGTGCCCCAGCTCAGGAGATTTGCAGAGTCTCAGTTCCATTCGTGGAGGTGACAGCTCTCATTTCACAAGCAGACCAGAGCATACCTAGTTAAAATGTGTCACATTCATTCCAGAGGCCAAATATTGCCCACAACAAGCAAAGAGAGCCTCTGGAACTACTGGCCTGAAGGATAAAGTGGCAGGGCAAAACAGCAGTGCACACGCAGCACACAATATAAATACTCCCAGAAGTGCCTGGCCCTAGGGAACAGGACACTACATGGCAGGGCATTATAAGTGACAATCTGAAGGTAGGTAACACAAAAGCAGTATAAACGACTATTTCTGTAAACAATAAGTCAAGGAACTCATGAAAGAAAACATCTAAAATATGACAACTTTTACCTTGAACATGGGGAGGAGAGGAGTAAAGAATGGGTTCAAACATAAATGACCATCGACTTAATATAGACTGCTATATGCAGAAGTAGTTATATACAAATAATGTTATATACAAATACCCACACATCAAAAATCACAAATACATACACAAAGAATAGAGAGAAATAAAGTCAAATATATTATTAAAGAAATTCATCAAAGCATGAAAGAAAGGATAAAAGAAAATTTTCAGAAATAATCACATAACAAATAATACAATGACAATAAATACATATATATCAATGATTACTCTGAATGTAAATGGACTAAACACTCCAATGAAAAAAAACATAGGGTGATGGAATGGATTAAAAAAATATGTCTATATGCTGCCTAAAAGAGACTAATTTTAGACCCAAAGACCTCTGCAGATTGAAAGTGAGGGGACTGAGAAATATCATGAAAATACATGTCAAGAAAAGGCTGCAGTAGCAATACTTATATTAGAAAAAATAGACTTTATTTTTTAAATGTTTATTTTCAAGAGAGAGAGACAGAATGTGGGCAGGGGAGGTGTAGGGAGAGAAGGAGACACAAAATCCAAAGCTGAGCTGTCAGCACAGAGCCCAATGCAGGGCTCAAACTCATGAGCCACGCGATCATGAACTGACCCGAAGTCAGACACTTAACCAACCTAGCCACCCAGGCACCCCAGAAAAACTAGATTTTAAAACACAGACTGTAACAAGAGACAAAAAAGACATATTAATAATAAAGAGGATAATCCAAAAAGAACATAAAATAATTGTAAATATTTATGCACCCATAGAAGCAACCATGTTTATAAAACAACAATAAACATAAAGGAACTAATTGATAATAATACAATGATGGTAGGGGATTTTAACAGCACACTTACATCAATGGACAGATGATCTAAACAGAAAATCAACAAGAAAAAAATGGCTTTGAATGACACACTGGAACAGGACTTAATAGATATATTCAGAACATTCCATCCTAAGACATCAGAATACACACTCTTTTCAAGTGCACATGGAATATTACCCATAATAGAACTCTAAGTCACAAAACAAGCTTCAACAAGTCCAAGGATCAATGAAGTCATACCATGCAACTTTTCTGACCACAATGCTATTAAAATAGAATAAAACTACAAGAAAAATCTGAAAGAACACCAATACATGGAGATCAAATAACATGCCACTAAACAATAAATATGTCAACCATGAAATCAAAGAAAAAAATGAAAACGTACATGAAAATGAAAAGCAGAACAGTCCAAAGCCTGTGGGATACAGCAAATCGGTTCTAAGAGAGAAGCTTATAGCAATACAGGCTTACCTAAAGAAATAAGAAAAATATCAAATCAACAACCTAACCTTTCACATAACGAAACTAGAAAAAATGAAAAAAAAAAAAAAAACCTAAACCAAGATAAAGGAGGAAATAATAAAGACTAAAGCAGAAATAAATGACATGGAAAACAGAACAGCTCAATGAAACAGGAGATGGCTATTGGAAAAAAATCAATAAAGTTGAATCCCTAGCCAGACTTATCAAGAAAAAATAGAAAACTCAAATAAATAAAATCAAAACTGATGGAGAAATAGCAAATAACACCACAGAAATATAAGCCATTATAAGAGAATATTATGAAAAATTGTATGCCAACAAATTGGACAACCTGGAGAAATGTATAAATTCCTAGAAACATATAAATTATCAAGACAGAAACAGGAAGAAACAGAAATTTGAACAGACCAATAGCCAGCAAAGAAATTCAACTAGTGTTCAAAAAACTCCCAAGAAACAAAAGTCCAGGAACAAATGGCTTCACAGGTGAATTCTACCAAACATTTAAAGAGTTAATACATATTCTTCTCAAAATATTCCAAAAAATAGAAGAGGATGGAAAGCTTCCAAATTCATTCTATGAAGTCAGCATTACCCTGATACCAAAACTAGATAAATATACCACTAAAAAAGAGAACTATATGCCAATATCCCTGATGAAAATAGATGCAAAAATCCTGAACAAAATACTAGCAAACTGAATTCAAGAATGCATTAAAAAAAATCATTAACCACAATCAAGTGGTATTTATTTCTGTGTTACAAGTGTGGTTCAGTATTTACAAATCAATAAATGTGATATATAAAAGAAAGGATAAGAACCATATGATCATTTCAATAGATGGATAAAAGCACTTACAAAGTACAATATACATTCATGATAAAAACCCTAAACAAAGTAGGTTTAGAGGGAGCATACCTCAACATAACAAAGGCCATATATGAAGAACCCACAGCAAGCATCATCATCAATGGGGAAAAACTGAGAGATTGTCCCCTCAGGTCAGGAACAAGACAAGGATGTCCACTGCCACCACTTCTATTCAACATAATATTGAAAGTTCTAGCCA